CTAGAGAAGATCCTAAAGAGTTAAGATATGCAACTAAGCACTAAAGTCAGAATCATACAAGCCATTGTATTTCCCATCACCATGTATGGATGTGAGAGCTGGACAATGAAAAAAGAGGATAATAAGAAAATCTAGTCATTTGAGACATGGTATTGGAGAAGAGTGCTGAGGATATAGAGGAGAACAAAAAAGCCAGACAAATGGGTAGATCAATCCTGAGACACCCTTGGAAGCCAAGATGATAAAGTTGAGGCTGTCATACATTGGCCACCTCATGAGAAGGCATGGCTCATTAGAAAAGACAATAAAGCTGGGAAAAGTGGAGGGTAGAAGAAAGAGAGGAAGACTACACACTGGATGGCTAGATTCAATTAGGGAAATGACAGCTACAAGTCTGCAAAACTTAGAGCAGTAGAAGACAGGAGTCTTGGAGATGTTTCATCCACAGTGTCACCATGAGTCGAGGTTGATTTGAGGGGAGTTAACAACAGCAACAATCATTGCCCCTCAGTCTTCTCTTTACTAAGCTGAACATGCCCAGCTCCTTCAACTGTTTCTCATATGTTTATTCTCCATACCTCACGGCATCTTGTTGCCTTTTTCCGGAGCTACTCTAGCTTAAAATGAAGTGCCCAAAACTGGATGCAATACTCCAAATGAGGCCTGACCAGTGCAAAATATAATAGGACTATTTTTCCCCTCAGTTTTAAAACTATGCTTCTATCACACAAACTGAAATAGCATTTGGTTTCTTTGTTGCAGCACCACTCTGCTGGCTCAGGTTCAACTTATGATCAACAATAACCCCAAGGTCCTTTTTGCATGGAGCACTGCTGAGGCATGTATCTCCCATCCTACAAGCATGCATTCGGTTTTTGTGACCTAAATGTAGAATTTTTCATTTGTCTCCATTAAATTTCAATTTACTAATTTCAGCCTTTTTTTAAAGTTTATCTACGTCTTTTGTGAATTCTGTACTTATCTTCCAATGCATTAGCCGCCCCTCCTAGTTTTGTGTCATCTGCAAATTTGATAAGGATTCCCTCCTCCCCATCATCTAAGTCATTGATAAAATTTTTGAAGAGTAATGGCCCTGGGACACAAGTTGTGAGGGAATGCAGCAATTTGCTTTTGCCTGAACCTACTGGTTCTTCTCTCTCTTCTCCCTCCTGCTGAGTTAACTGTGTAAACTATTTGCGCTGTGAGCTCAGTTTGCAGCAAGTGAAGTAAGTTGAAGAAAGACAAAGAGGGAAAGTGGGAAGAGAAGAGAGGAGCTGGAAAACTTTAAAAATAGTTAGAAAAGTGGGAGGCAAAGGATTAATCAGGACGGTCCCTGCCAGGATTCCCCAAATGGTCTGAATTGTTCTTCCTTAGAGCAAGGCATTATGAGTGAGGTGGCTAAGATGTGTGAAAGAGGAGGCGAGAATGAGGGACATGGTAGCAGAGAAGGTTTATATAAACCCTCCTGCCCCAGGCAATAGGAGATCATGTGTTATGCTGGGATCTTGGGAGTCAATGAAAATTTTTAAATGATACAGGAAGACATTAGTTTTAGGAAACAGTACACATATGTGGGGAGATCCAGCATGGTGCAGTAGTTTGAGTGTTTAACTATGGAAACCAGGTTTCAAATCTCTGTTTGGCCATGAAAACCCACTGGGTGACCTTGGGCAAGTCACACTCTCTTGGCCTCAGAGGATGGCAATGGCAAACCCCCTCTGATGAAACTTGCCAAGAAAACTCTTGCCTTAGGGTCATGATGAGTCGGAAATGAAATCAAGGCAGACAACACACACCCATACATATGTAAGCATGTGGTGTAGTTGTTTGAGTGTTGGACTACCACTCTGGAGATCAGGTTTTGATTCCCTGCTCGGCCATGGAAACCCACTGAGTGACTTTGGGTGAGTCACATACTCTCAGCCTCTGAAAATCCCATGATAGGTTTGCCTCAGGGTTGCTATAAGTCAGAAATGACTTGAAGGCACATAACAACAATATATATGTGACTTTTTTCTCTATTGGAAAAACATCTAGCATACTCAGCAGGGATGCTTTCCTTTTTAATATGCATAGCATTCATTCCATTATCCCACAGCAAAGTCTCTGGGAAGAACAATGTTGCTCTACAAACACAGCAGCTTCTCATCAGACTTCCAATTCTCAGGTGTTTTAATTGTCTGCTGAAAAGATCGAAAAGTCGCATGTACACAATGAATCCGAGGCGCCTCAACACACTATTGTTCAGGCAAAATCAGAATAAGCCCCGCAATCTTCTCCCCTGAAATGGCTCCATTGTGTGTAGCAAGTATGTGCATCTGAATGTATATTAAAAGTAATGTGCCGAGTGGAGCGAAACGCCGCCTCGAACTGTGCAGCTTCATGGGGATGAGGAGGTATTTTTTAATCAAAAGCACAATGCAGGTATTGTGAATGCTGTGATTTGCTGTAACAACCCACTCACCTCTTTTTTTCTCTTTAGAGTCTCTCCCCTTTAATTGATTTCTGAAGGTCGATACAAGGGCAGAGAGTGAGAGTGGCTGCAATTTTTTTTAGCATGTCAGTTTAGGGAAGCAGCTTCTTTTTCTTTCCGTAAGGAAAGAAGAGAAGAAAGAGAGGGGAAAGAAAAGAAAGATTGAACTATGCACCTCCATTCTCCATCACCCCAGATGGGGAGCAATTTTTATCTCTTGTACTGGATTTGTAGTATGAATTGTGTTATTGTTGTTGTGTGTCTTCAAGTCATTTCTGACTTAGGGCAACGATAAGCCGAACCTATCACTGGTTTGGCAAGATCTGTTCAGAGGTGGCTTTGCCTTTGCTTTCCTCTGAGACTGAGAGAGTGTGACTTCCCCAAGGTCATCCAGTGAGTTTCCATGACTGAGCAGGGATTTGAACCCTAGTTTCCTGAGTCCTAGTCCAATCCTGAACCCACTGCACCACACTGGCTCCCTAGCATAGATTGTGCAGAACTGGAAAACTTAGCAAACATTTTGAAAAATCAGTGTTCTGCTTTTTTAAAAAAATCTAAAGTAAATGCCATCAGTGTGGACATTGAAAAAGCAGCACTTTAAAAACTAACAGATGGAAATTCATATACAAAGGAAGTTCATTTTTATAATTAGTACCCAAGCAATCAATAGAACTTGTGGGATGAGCAAAGCTAAAGATTTTGTTTTTGTTTTGTGTCTTCATGTCATTTCTGACTTATGGTGACGCTAAACAAACCTATTATGGGGTTTTCTTTGCACATTTCTTCAGAGGCGGGTTGCCATGGCCACCCTCTGAGGCTTAGTGTGGCTTGTCCAAGTCACCCAGTGGGTTTATATGGCCAAGTCACAATTCAAACCCTGGTCATAGGGGGGTTGCAGACTTCCAGAAAAAGTGCAAATTGAGTCCACTTTTAGGGTTAGGGTTAGGGAATCATGGGAACTGTAGTTTATTGTGGCACTAGAGCTCTCTGACAGAGAAGGCTCAATGTCTCAGAAAAAAATTCCCATGATTCCCTAGCTCTAACCCTAACCCTAAAAGTGGACTGAATTTGCACTATTTCTGACAGTCTGCAACCCCCCATAGTCCAATGATCAGACCACTATACCATACCTGCTTAGGCCTAAATTCAGTTGCTTGTCCCACCTGCACTGGAGCCATAGAATTTAATAAGTCAACAATCCTTCCCACATTTCACAGATGAAAACTGGGACACTTGGCCAAGCAACATCAAACATCAAAGGCATGATTTATTAATGAGGAAGAACATACCAGACAGGAGAAGCTGCAGCAGTTTGTTTTTGCCTAATGGGATAGGCAATTTCCCGCCGCCTCCTCTCCTCTCCCCCATGTTGAGTTAACTGAGTGCAAACTACTTTTGCATTTTATACTTTTGCATTTCAGTTTGCAGCAATTGAAGCAAGCTGAGGATAAAGAGGGAAAGTTGGAGTAGGAGAGAGAAACTGAGACATTTCAAAAGAAGCTGAAAAATGGAATGACAGATTATTAATCCCCTTGTTTGTCCAGTGTTAATGGATACTCTTCATTTTGTCAGCCCAAGGATGTGGACAAGGTCCTTGGTGAAGCAAGAGCAACAACATGTATACTAGACCCTTTCTCTTCCTGGCTTTTTATACTGGCCACAGGAGGACTAGCTGAATGGGTAAGGAGAGTGATTGATGGCTCTTTACAACAAACCAGGGCCCCAACTTGCCTGAAAGAGGCTTTAGTAAGACCTATACTGAAAAAAACCTTCCCTGGATCTTACTATAGGGCCTAAGCAGACTGGCGGCATGGGGCCGCCCTGGGAAGGTGCACCGCGGGACCGAGGCATCCCCATGCCTCGATCCTGCGGCGCACCTTCACCGCCCCTGAAAGGAGCACTAAAATAGCGCTCCTTTCACAAGCCAGCGAAAGTGCACCGCAAAATCTTGCGGTGCACTTTCGCTGACTTTTCCGCCACAGCGTGTCAGGACGCTGCGGCGGGAGGTTGCCCCCGGAGCGCCAGCCATGCAGAGGGTCGGCGGCTCCGAGGGCAACCTTGGGAGGAGGAAGGGGCGCCGAGCGTGCGGCTGTCCCTCCCCTTCCTTGCCTCGAGGACATCTCTATTAGCCATCTGCCAAGGCCCATAATGGATAACTATAGACCAATCTCCAAGATCCCATTATTGGCACAGTACTGGAGTGGGTGATGGCTTTGCAACTGATGGATGAGACAGATTATCTAGTTTCTCTGGTTTCAGGTGTGGTTATGGGATGGAGACAGCTTTGGTCACCTTGGTGGGTGACCAATGCAGGGAACTGGATAGTGGGAGTGTGTGCCTGTTGGTATCAGAAGCTTTTGATACCATCAACCATAGTATCCTTTTGAGTCTCCTCTCTGGAATGAGGCTTGGAGGTACTGTTCTTACAGTAGCTCCATTCTTTCTTGGAGGGGTGTTCTCAGGAGGTGGTGTTGGGGGATTTCTGTTCGACTACATGGCCATTAGCCTGTGGGGTTCCTGAGGGATCAGTCTTGTCCCCCAGGCTACTTATATCTATATGAAACCCCTGGGGGAAATTGTCTGGAGTTTTGGAGCCAGGTGTCACCAGAATGCTGACGATACCCAGATCTCTCAGTCCTTTCCACCTAATTCCAAGGAAGCTGTTCCCGTGCTAAACAATGTCTGGAAGCCAAAATGAACTTGATGAGGGCAAACAATCTGAAGTTTAATCCAGACAAAGGCAGAGGTGTTCTTGGTTATTTGAAGACAGATCTGGGAATAGGGATTCAGACTGTGTTAGATGGGGCTACACTCCTCCTGAAAATGCAGGTTTGCAGACTGGGGGACTCCTGTATTCAACTTTGAGCCTTTAGGCATAGCTCTCAACAGTGAGCAGGAGTGCATTTGCACAGTTAAAACCAGTGTGCCAACTCTACCCCTTCCTGGAGAAGTCAGATTTGGTGGTACGTGCTTTGGCTGCACCCTGTTTGGATTACTATAATGCACTCTATGGGGATGTACAGACTGGTACTTTGAGCCAGTGTTGGGGCAGAGTGGGAGTGTGGCAACCACATGCTGCATGCCCGCTCACCCGACCAGACAGAGTGTGTGTGTGTGTGTGTGTGTGTGTGTGTGTGTGTGTGATGCTGCATCTTTGGCACAACATTTAGACGCGCTGCACCAAAGAACCGGTGAAAAGCTGCCATGGCAGTGGCAAAGATGTTCTTTTGCTGCTCTAAAAAGGAGTGGCATTTTGCTGACTCTTTTTAGAGTGGCAAACTGCCAGATTAGGGCTGCAGCATGTGGTTGCCATGGCCCTGATCCAGCGAGGAAAGGGGCGGCCAGAGGCCACTTGATTGGGACTGTCTGTTGAGCCCCTATGTTGGATTCCCTTTGAAAAGTGCTTAGAAACTTCAATTGGCCCAAAGAATTGCAGCCAGATTGCTAACCAGGGCTGGTTTCACAGAACACACAACTCCTCTATTGCAACAGCTCCACTGGCTGTCAATTCATTTCTGAGCACAATTAAAAATGCTGGTTTTGATCTATAAAGCCTTATATGGCTTGGGTCCAGGTTATTTGAAGGACTGTATCTCCCTTTATGAGCCCATTACATCTCTAAGATCATCTGGAGAGGCCCTTATCTCTGTCCCACCATCTTTGCTCTCTTTCCATTGGTAATTGAAACAGGCTTTTGGAAATTGAATGAGCTGGGCCATAATGATGTACTGTGTTTTGTAATGCTTTCTGGTCCATTTAACCTTTCAATGTATTTTAATTTTACTGTCTTAACAGTAATTTTACACATTGGTCCTTGAAAGTTGGGGAGCATTTTAGATTTGGCCCTAATTATAAATCCTGGACTTTTTTGGGAATAATGGTTGAGTTTGCAAATTTGTTATCACTGTGTGCCTTCAAGTCATTTCCAACTTATGATGCCCCTAAGGTGAACCTATCATGGGGTTTTCTTGGCAAGATTTATTTTCCAGCGGAGGTGTGCTATTCCCTTTCCCTGAGGCTGAGAGCATGTGAATTGCCCAAGGCCACCCAGTGGGTTTCATGGCTGAGCTGGGGATTGAACCCTGGTCTCCAGAGTCGTAGTCCAACACTCAAACCACTATAGCTAGTATCCTGTGACAAGTACACAGAATGGTCTTGTTTGTAGTATACCAAGTGCAGTCACTTTGCTGAACATATTGGAGCATTGCACATTATTCTCTTTGTCAGCCATACCATTCATGTATGTCACTCTAAAATACCCCTGTAAAAGAGTTTGCTTACTTGCAGCTCTTGCTTTTTGCTTTGCTGGGCCTGAAATTAAGTACCTGTCCAAATATATGCATAGATCAGAAAATATATGTATCAGGTCACACACAATCTCAGTTTATTCAAATTTGTTACTTGATGAATAAGGTGTCAACCTAGCATGAAGGGAAAATGTATTAAAACCATTCCTCCATTTTGTTGTTATAAACCAATGTCCATATGCCATTTGTCAGTTGTCAGAGAGCTTGAGGCCATTGCATACTTTCTAACAGATCCATCTCTCTCTCCAACTCATTGTTTTTCCTTTAAAATGTTTATCATTACCAGTGGCCAAAAATTGTGCATTGGATCCCAAATCAGAGGTGTTCTCACAGGCACCAGCATGGTTCCTCCCCAGCAAAACTCAGATGCCAATCATGCTTCCACTCCATTCAATTTCACCACATCTCCCCCCTCCACACATAAACCATTGCTCAAATAAAGTCAAGCACTCATTTAAAAAAAACACCATAAAAATAAACAATCTGCTTGAATTGCAGCTCCTGTTCTTTCTGTTGTCATTTTTTTTCCCATTCAGATAATGTGATATTAGATTACCACTTGTCTTTAATCTGTCATGCAGTTGATGGGAACTATAAATAGTGCATGCAGAAATGCTCATGTTGTCTTGGATATACATATAATTAGTGAACATCAAGCTAAATTAATTACAATAGGGTTAATTTAATTTTAACCATCTGAATGTTCTAACAGAGAAGAGAGGAAATGTAATTTAAACACAAACACACGCACACACACATCAGTTATACATGAGTTGGGCTGAGATTACCCTGCTGAGAAACGTATTTAAAAAACAACTCACAAGAGCAGTACTCCCCAGAGCAGAGGCTCTGGGGAGTACATCTGCATCATCAGTTGCTCAGTTTGGAATGTTATTTTTAAAAATAATGCATTTCTCATTACTTTCCCCAAAGTGACTCAATGCTGTCACTCACTGTTGTTGTTGTTGTTGTTGTTGTTGTTGTTGTTGTTGTGTGCCTTCAAGTCATTTCCAACTTAAGGCAACTGTAAGATGACCCTATTGCAGGATTTTCGTGGCAAGATTTGTACAGTGTCATGAGTTTCTTCTCCTACTTTTCTGTAGGAGATGCTACTCACTTGAGATCATCGAGTTGAGAGGCCACCACCCACTGATTTTTAACCCACTCTCTTATCCAGTAACTCAGTGGGAAGTTACTGGAGAACTTGATTTATGCTTTTTCCATCTCTGCAGAAGTTTTCCCTTCCCCCTCCCCTTTGGAAGGTGAGAATCCTGTGCGCATAAATGTTGCATGCACCCAAGATAAGGCACGTGAAAGAGTGTGGGCAGAAAGGAGATCTTAAAAGGAAATCTTTGTTCTAACTGAGGTCCAAAACACACTGCAGAGATAGTCTATGCCTCGTAATAAAAAAAACCCCACTAAGTGAGGCCAACAGGAGTTTGGTGGCTGATGTTCAACATGCTTATAGCACACATCTCTACCTCTGGTCGTAATCAGAGTAGATAGAATTGTGCAGATGCTGGAAGAATAGTTGGATGGACTAAGGGCTGGATGAGAACAGGGGATATGATAGCCCTCTTTAAATATTTGAAGGGATGTCATATTGAGGAGGGCGCTAGCTTGATTTCTTCTGCTCCAGAGAATAGAACCCGGAACAATGGACACAAGCTACAGGAAAAGAGATTCCACCTGAACATTAGGAGGAACTTCCTGACAGTAAGAGTTGTCCCACAGTGGAATATGCTACTTCGGAGTGTGGTGGAGTCTCCTCCTTTGGAGGTCTTTAAACAGAGGCTGGATGACCATCTGCCGGGGATGCTTTGATTTTGAGTTCCTGCATGGCAGGGGGTTGGACTGGATGGCCCTTGGGGTCTCTTCCAACTCTATGATTCTATGAGAACCAATAAGCTGATGCTGAATCCTGGGAAGCAGGAACCCCCAGAACTGTCTACTGAGAGGGCACTTAACATTGGCTGGCAGGTTGTCATTAATTTTGCCTGCTTGCAGACACTTGCTGGAGGCTGGCAATTACTTTCCACATCCATCATTGAAAATGCTTTAAAAATGAAGACACTTACAGGCACAATGTGTACTTAGATGACCCCTCCATATGTTCAGTGCAGCATACTTTCAAGTAAGTATACATTGAATAGATTGTAGATAGCCTTTATTATTCCTAGGAGGGCTCAACAACAATAGCTCTCTTAGTATTTCTCATGCTCTATCATTTAGTACACTCTGATCATTCCTGAGGCAAAAGAAACTCTATGGTCCAGTCTTGCCCCTTCTGTTCCAGTGTCCAAAGCTCTGTCTGTAAGATGGAAGCTCTGTGGCTGGTTGGCTCCTAGGTGTGGGGATTGGTTACGTGACCTAAAGGTAAAGGTATGAGCTGCCGGACGAGATTCGTCAGAATACCCCCTTGGAAAGCTTTAAAAAGGCTATTTAGATGGATCTCTTCTTGCAGGCCTTCCCAGATTAGCCTTTTCAGCTCCCTTTCCCCTCATTGTTATCATTGCTATCATTGTTATTATCGTTATTAGTGATACCGCTGATATCATGGCCTCTGCTTTCTCTCCCCTGGGAAAGCACACCTCTCTCCCCCTAAACTGGAAATCTGAATCAGGTATTTATTCTTTTATTCTATCCAATATACAACAATAATTTCTG